TACTGTGAAAAATAAATTTCTGTTGATTATAACTTATCTAGTCTGTGATATTTTGTTATCCGGCCCAAATGGACAAAGACAATGAGTGAATGTTTTCCAGGTAGAAAACATGTGAAGGGCGTTCCAGACAAAGAGAAAGCGTGTGCAAGGAAGTGGAGTTTGCAGGAGCAAAGCTGTCTCTGGCCAAGTATGTCAGTAGACATGTTGGAAGTTCGGGGAAAGCAGTGGAAGGAACAGCAGAGATGATGCTGGAAAGGGCTAGAACCAGATCTTGAAGTTCTTGTATGCTACCCCAATGTTTTGAGCTATGGGTAAATATTAAAATATGGAGAGTGTTTTCTCCAAGTTCAACCTGTTGTTTAACACAATGTCCTTCTTCATGTATTGTACGGTGAGCTGTTTCCTACTGGATTCACTCAAGGTCACAAAATCCAATCTTGTGTATAATGAAGGCCTCTGAAGACAGGAAGGCATGGCCCCTGGTATTTAGGGGCATTAACCTCACAGGGTACCTTTTGATCCCTGGGACTGTGGAAGCAAACTTAATAGATGCATGTAAGTAGGGACGAGTGCGGGTAACTCAAGAGCCTGCATTAGAAATGTTGACGGTTGAGGCAGGGTGGAGCTGAGAATCCAAGGGGTGAACCAGACATTGTCCAGGAAGGAATGAAGCCAACGTGGTGATCCTGCCTTCAGGAAAATTCAGTGCCTGCTTGCTGTGTCAGACACGAGGGTCTCGAGAAAGAATGATGAGCTGAAGTCAGGAAGACTGAGCTCTTGTTCCAGTTTGAGCACCACTTGCTACGCAGTCTTGGCCAAATGGTTTCCCCGTACAATGAAGAAGTTGGACTGTGAGACCCAAAGAATATTTCAGCTCCAATACACTAGCCGTCTCTCAATGTTAGCCAGCTCAACATTGAATTAAAAGTTAAAACAAATCATAATCAATGCATTGATTCAAGAGATCACAGAAAAAAAGGGAAATATTAGAGAGCTGCAAAGTGTGGACACCGTTCTATGCTCTTTATTAAGTTCTCAGTGAACCCTCACATCAGCTATGCAAAAGTTACTTTCATATTCATTTTGCATATGAGTAAACCAAGACTCAGAAAAGTTGCCCTAACTTCTTACACCTCCTAAAGGAGGCGGATAGAGTTTGGCAGCAGGTCAATGTGATTGCAAAGTCCTGCTCTTTTTATTGCATCACACTGTCCAACGCCCTGAAATAAGGTTTATGAAGTGCTCTGGAGTGGATTGAGTAACAGAGTGGTCTGCCCTCCAAAGTCAAGAGGATGCTGTTAATGGAACAGGGGATAAGATGGAAAATGCTGAGGCTAAGTGTTTCCTAATTGCGCTTCTCGGCACAGAAGTGTGACATACAGAGCCTGTTCCTCAAAGAGTGGCCCGTGGGGTCCAGCCGTCTGGGGCAAACGGGCGACAAATACAATGGTGACCAGGTAAGCTGGAGCCCACTCCCATGAAATGGTGGCCTCTCACCACTCTCACTCCTCTTCCTCAGTGTCAGATGGGGCTAGCTTTACTCCGACACACCCAATAAAACCCCCAGCCCCAGAAAACTTGTCCAGCTTAACTTCTTTTTGAGGAATAGGCATGTGGAGAGAAGCCAAGTGGCTAAGTTCAGTTTCAGTCTGAACAACTTCATGAAAACACTAGAAAGCTGGTTTCTCTGAGCAAATCTGTAGATGTCACTTACATGGGAAATGTATTAGTCTGCTCAGGCTGCCATAACAAATACCGTGGTCTGGGTCATTTAAATAATAGAAATTTATTTCTAACAGTTCTGGTGGCTGGAAGTCCAAGATCAAGGTGTGGGCAGGTTTGGTTTCTCCTGAGCCCTCCCTGCTTGGTTAATTGGCAGCCATCATCTCACTGTGTCCTCCCATGACCTTTTCTCTCTGAATGTGCATCCTTGCTGTCTCTTCCTCTTATAAAGACATCCGTCCTATTGGGTTGGGGCCTCACCCCAAAACCTCAAATAACGTTAATTTCCTCTTTAAAGGCCCTACCTCCAAATATAGTCACGTTGGTGGTTAGAGCCTCAACATATGAAATTTTGTGGGACACAGCTCAGTCCGTAACAGGAAGGAAGGTCTTATACTGGAATTTTCATTACAAACGTATTTAAATGGAAAAATCACGAGTCCAGTTAGCAATGGGATGTCACTTAGAAACAGAGCAGTAGTTCTTGTCTCTGACTGCACGTGGAATCACTTGGGGAGCTTTCCAAAAACAGCAATGCCTCGGTTCCAATCCAGACGGATCAGGACCTCAGGCACTGGTGTATTAGTCAGGGTTCTCCAGAGAAACAGAACTGATGAGATGTGTGGGTGTGTGTATATATGTGTGTGTGTGTATGTACATGCATGTATATATATACACACATATGGTGATGTTATATATATTATCTATATGTAGTAAGTTCTACACAGAGAGCGAGAAAGAGAAAGAGAAGAGAGAGAGAGATTGATTTTAAGGAAATGGCCACATGAATGTGCAGACGGCCAAGTTCAAGATTGGCAGGGTAGGCTGGCAGGTTGGAGATCCGGGGAAGAGCTCACGCTGCAGCTTGAGGCCAAACACAATCTGGAGGCGGAATTCCCTCTTCTCCCACTGTCCTCGGTCTGCTCTTTCTTAAGGTCTTCAACTGATTGGGTGAAGCTCACCCACGGCATGGAGTTTAATCTGCCTTCTTCAAAGTCTACTGATTTAAATGTTATTACCATCTAAAAAGATCTTCACGGAAACATCCAGATTGATGCCTGACCAAATATCTGGGTACCGTGGCTGAGCCAAGTTGACACATAAAATTAACTACCATAATTCATATATTTTTGGAAAATAAGCAATTTGCTGTTTTCCTGTTTAGCTTGAGGGGTGACTCAGGTCACGAGGATTTTGTTTTCCTTTTTTAATATTTTAGGTTTGCTCTGACTTCAAGAAGGGTTTGTTTTTTTGAGGGAAAGATTCGCCCTGGACTAACATCTGTTGCCAATCTTCCTCTTTTTTTTTCTTCCTCCCCAAAGCCCCAGGACCTGGTTGTATATCCTAGTTGTGAGTCATTCTGGTTCTTCTATGTGAGCAGCACAGCAACTGACAGACGGATAGTGTGGTTCCACCATCAGGGAGCAAACCCGGGAGACAGAAACGGTGAGCGCCGAACTTTAACCACTAGGACATCAGGGCCAGCTCCACAACGGGTACTTTGTAATAGATCCCCTGGTGATTCCAATATGCATTCAGGGTTGAGAGCCATTGATCTAGAACCAGGACTTTCAGAGCCAAGACCTGTGAGTTGACCTGACAGCCTGGGCTCTTTCCTTCCATCCTGCCTTAGTCACACAAACCCGTTTCTCTGCTGGTTCCTCACTTTCTTCTCTTCTGTTCAGGCACTGTTTTTCAACATTGCCTGTGCATTCTAATTTCCTGGGAAGATTAAAAACACTGATGCCCAGGTTCCACCACTAGAGACTTTGATGTACTTGGTAGTGGGTAATCAGAATTGCAAATGCAAAATGCAGCCTGGGCATCAAGGGTTGAAAAATTCTGCAGGAGATTCTAACAGGCAGCCAACGTTGAGAAAAATCATTCAAGTAATTTCACGTATGTATTCAAGCCTTCAGTTTAGGTTGGGTTCATAAGAAACTCTCTTTCTAAGCTGCGGTTGGTTTGTAAATCCTCCACAATACGGAATTTACAATCTGGGATTGTAAATATGTCTGGATTTTCTTAATTGAAAAAAAAATATATATTCTAAAGCACCTCACAATGAAGTTAACCACTTAGACCCTTATGCTCAGAGACTCATTCCTCCTGCGAACTTTTATTGACCGATTTCCCTGCAGTGCCACATAGGCCTTCCACACAGAACCACGGGAGAGACAAAGGAGAAAAGACATTTTGTCACTGCATGAGGAAGTTGCAGTTGAATGGAGAAAGCAGACATTAATGTCACCATGATAAAAATGTGGTAATTACCGGAGAAGGAGGAGGAACAAGATCTCTGTGACCCCAGAGAATTTCTTCAGGTGGAAGAGGGAGTCGGAAGGCCTTCCGAGGCAGAAAGAGGAGCTGCCTTAACCGCCCAGAGATGTGACAGCTGATGATGCACTCAGGAAATGGCAGACGGTCTGATGCTGGTGAGTCAGAGTTCATGCGAGGAGCGCTGGAAAGGTAGTTTGAGATTAGATGGTAAACAGCCCTGAAAGCTAGACTAGGGAGCTGAAAGTTTTAATATAAATCCTAAGGTTTTTCTTAATGAGAGAGAACATTTACCAACATTTTAACAAAAATTACCTGAAGGCAAGCAAAGGGCAGCATTGGGAGCAGGCAGGGCAAATTTAAAGGAATTTTCTAGAAACAATTTAGGTAAACTATTATGAGGACCTTAACTTGGGAATTGGCAGTGGGAATGAGGAGGGCAGAAAAGATGGGGAAGCAGGCAGTCAGTGAGTGCAGGTAAGTGGCAGAGCCAGGATTTGAAGCAAGGTCTTGGCTTCATTTAACACATGGGCATACACTAAGATGTACACACAGACACACACACTGAGGACAGAATATGTGCCAGGCACTGTGTGTTGGGTGGTGGGGGACCTGAGATAGACCCAGTCTCTGGTGTCATTGTACTTACAGGTAAGGGGAGGATACACAAAAATAAGAAGCCATCATCCAACATGACAAGTATGATGAGAACAGCAGTAGAGGGCATTATGGGAACAAGTCAGGGAGCAAGCCAGCTGACCCAGACTTAGAGGGGCCCTTCCCAGAGAAAGGACATCTAAGAAGAGATCAGAAAAAGAGGTGGATTAAAAGTGCACAGGGGCAGCTGGGGAGGGCAGGTGTGCTCCAAGCAGAGGGAATGGCAGCCTTCTTGCCTGAGGGGTCCAATCCTGCTCCCTAAACGGGTCTCCGACTGCATTCGGAATGTGCTTCCTCACATTAAGGTCCTGACAGCTGTTATTCTGCAATGATTTCCAGCTCATGAGATGTCAGCTTTCTCCTCCCTGGGACGACCCATAAAGGATCAGAGAAAGTCACGCTGGAAAAGGTCTGTAAGGACCCCCATTTCAACCCCTCAATTTACAAAGAAGGCAAATGAAATCCTGGAGAAATAGACTATTTTCAGGTAATGTAGCAATTTAGAACTGGAACGCAGGTCTCCTGTTTCCCAGTCCAGTGTCTTTTTACATGTCACGCACACTTGTTATAGCTGAGTTTGATGTCAAGGGCACTCTGTGTCTAAAACTCCTTGCCAAGTGTTTTTTATTTAATTTACTCCACCATGTGCTCACTCATAATTATTAAGTTCCTACAATTGTAGCAAACTGCATGTCTCTTCCCCAAATGCGCTTCCTGTACAGTAAGCCTGTTCTTCTCATTCCTTCCAGACTTACTGTTAATTCGCTCATCATCTCAAGTCTTATTATGCTCTTCTTCCTGGGGCACAAATGAACTCAAGCACTGAACTGCTTCATCATTCCTGATACTAAAAGTTTAATTTCAGAAATTCTCAGGCCAGGCCCATTTCCTAAACTTCTGGCAGCATCTACTATAGGCAGGCTTCATGGCACCCACGGGATGGCCTCATTCACCCTGTCATCATCCATTCCCCATGTCAACCCAGACTCACATTCAGCTAATGTTTATTGAGCAGTCTCTGTGCTCGATGCTTTATATGCATGATGTCATCTGATCCAGAACATATTTCAGCTGGGTAAATATTGTCCCCATTTTCCCAGTGAGGGACCTGAGGCCCAGGAAGGTTAGAACACCCTGCCCAATTATACCTTGGAGTGGATGAGCCAGGTTGACTGCCTCCTGGTTCACTGTGTTTTTCTGGTATCTCAGGCTACTTTGTCCCTTAGATTTGATGGGAGAAGTCCTGCTGGATGGTGAAATTATCATTTTATTTCATTTTTGCTGGCAATAGATTTTGTTGTGACATGTTGTCTGCCAGCATCAGACGTCCAGTTATGTCTCATCCCAGTTCCACACATCCTGTGGATAATTCACATACCAGCCGTTAAAATAATGTCTTTCAAATGAGGATGGTGGGGCATGACCTGTGAATGTTTCCTGCTCTCAAAGCCAGGAGATGAAGGTAGCTGACTGCAAGCTAAGAGAGAATCCTCCTCATCTGTGGCAATTTCTTTGCTCAGGGGAGATCAGCGATCACTTAGCGCTGCCTCTGGATGTGGCTCTGCGGTTCCTCTGACGACTCAGCTTTTCAAGGCAGGATGAGAAAGCCTGTGGGGTCAGGGTGGACGAGGGAGGGTGGCTTGAACGTGGGGAGAAGGTGAGGGCACCCCGCCTGGAGATGTGGCGGGAGTAATGATGTGTGAATCCTGCATGACTCAGCCCTCTGGGCAGGTAATGAAAACCCAACAGACACAAGCTTGTTTAAGAAAATATGCATCATTGATGTGGCTATTTTGGGAGATGAAAGAGAGCTTGAAAAGGAGAAACATGTGAAAAGTATTCAAGTTGAGTGAGTGTGATAGAAAACCAAGATTTCCCTTCATAATTGAACAGTAAAAAGCAAATGTGTCCTGATCTTTCAAGTCACAGGGTTGGAAGGAAGAATGGGGTGTGGGGGACAGATGTTGGCAGTTGTTTGCTCTCTGGATGTACACATTGTGGTTTGGGGACTGAGGGACTTTGGAAGGGATTTGCTCCTTTATTCCTTTATTGTTTCTAAGAGAAACCAGGCCTCAAGTGGGGTTGGGAAGGAAGATTCTTCACACCAGCCCCCTGGACATGCCAAAGCTTCCCCTGTGACAAGAGCCTGTGCTGGCAGACATCTGCAGTTACCTCACAGCTCAGTGAGGGCAGAAATCCTCTTTCTGATCACTTGCAGCAGATTCCATGTGGAACCGTGATCAACCAGGCAGAAGATGGGGTGCAGGAGAAAACAGGCCACACAGGGCTCTGTGGCCTTTGATGCACATGTGTCAGATGGGGGGCTGACGTGTCCTTTCACCCTTAGTGGAGTCCCGAGGCACAGGAGGATGAGGCGTGTTTGAGAAGAGAGGATCTGAATCCTGCCTGCTCTGTTCTCTCCTAATTCTCACCGCTGCCTCCCGACTGGTCTCTTCCAGGCACCCGGGTCCAGCCTTACACCCCACGTAGAAAAGGCACCTCTAACACCTTGGTTTTTATCTCGTTGTTTTTGTTTTTTCCTGAATTTCTGATCCTGATCTGCTCCCAACCCTCCTGACTGCTAATATCATCAATTGTTCGTTTAGTCAATACATATTTAAGAAGACCTCACTGGGACTCTGTTCTCTCATCTGTGCTGCATCCCTTACCTCCCTCTGACTCGTTTGCCTCCTTTTCTGATGCTCAGCCCATGGAGACACAGCTTGCTCATCATTTGGATTTTTTTATTGGTTAAGACCTCTAGGAAACATCCCTCAAGCTCTACTGCCCTGGGACTCTTCCTCTGGCAGCCTCCATGGGGAGCACTCCTCCCCCAGCTTGGGGTTGTCAAATTCCTTTAGGAACCCACACATTCACCCTGCAGCTCATCTTACAAAAGCCCTGGTTGCTCTAATCTTGTCCTCCCTCTGCCTAGAAGACATCACTGACTCCATTGATCCAAAGCAGTAATTCCGGAAGTGTCTTCTGAGGTACCTTAGTTGACAGTGATTCTAATACAAGACTCAAAGCTGTATTTTTCTTTTAAATATAAATATTTATTGAGTCTCTGTTAGGTGCCATACCCTAACAGATTCTGTGCACACAGTGATGAGCAACTTAGACATGTCCAATGCCCTCATGGTGTTTACCATTTATCATGGAAGACATCAAACAGTTACTACTGTGAAAAGTATTTTGAAGAAAAAGTGAAGGGTGTTATAGAAATGAAAAAGGGGCAGTGGTTGTGAAATCTAGTCTGAATACTCAGGAAAGTTGAGCCCTGGAGCATGAGCAGGATTCAGTACGCTAGGATGGGGACAATAGTGCCAGGCAGCAGGAACCACTGTGTACGTCACCACCCTAGCACTGGAAAGAGCAGGACATGTTTCAGTGACAGAAAGAAGGTGGTTTGGCTTGAAGACAAGTAGTGCTCTAAAAGGACAATCCCTGAGTGACTTTGCAGCATCATCGGGAACGCTTCCTAAAAATGTAAATACCTGATTCTCACCTCCAATTGTTAAATCAGGGATGGAACTCTGATAGATTGATTGCAAAAATGGATTTCCTGGGTCAATAACCTTTGTAGTGTGACTTTGCAGCTTTTTCCATGAAGAGATGGAAATCTCTTTCTCCACTCTTTGAATCTGGACTGGCCTTATCACCCACGTTGGCCAACAGAATGAGGTGGAAGTGTTCTCATGCCAATTAGGAGCCCAAGATTCAAGAAGTAGTGTGTTCTCTGCTCTTTCTCTTGGAACTCTGGCTCTAATATGTAAACAAAAGCAGGTGAGCCAGCTAGAGAACAAGGGACCATATGGAGGAGAGTCCAGTTGTCCCTCTGAGGCCATCCTAGACCAGCCTACAGCAAGCCAGCTCCTTAACATGTAAGTGAGCTCAGCCAAAATCAACAGAACTGCTCACCTGACCCACACCTGGCAGCAGATGCACTAGTAAGTCCAGGGGAGACCAGTGGTGTAAAACCATAATCATTTGAACACTAACAACTGGTTGTATGTTCAGCCACTCAGAGTGGGTGGTTTGTTACGCAGCAAATAAAACCAATACAGGAATCAAGAATATGGACAAGGATTTTTGAGAGCAGAATAGGCAGAGGTCAGATCTAGTAGGACTTTGTAGGGCATGAAGAGGGTTTGGCATTTTATCCTAACAGTTATGTGAAGCTTTCGAAAGGTTTTGAGCATGGAAGTGACACAATTAGGTTTGCGTCATAGAAAGATTAACTTGGCTACTTTGTGGAGAATGAACTACAGGAGAAGAGGATGAATCAAGCTAGACTGAATTCAACTTAAGTTTTGTTTTGTTTCACTTTTTTCTTTAAGTAGGTAAACTGAGATCCAACTCTGCATTAAGTAATGGGATTACAAGGAATAAGACCCATACCCTGTCCTCAAGTCTGGAGGGAGACTGAGAGTTATGATGTATTTTAACAAGTACCATAATGGAGATTCACTCAGGTAGTCATGTTGGTGTGGAGAAGTAGCACCTAGACCAACCTGGGGGAAAATCCAGGATTCTGTCCAACTGGTGATAGCTGAGAATGCCCTGAAGATGGGAACATCATTTCCTAGGAAGAGGAAGGAGCCTAAGTGAAATACAGTGTTGCCAAAGTATGAAGCACGAGGTGGGAAGCAGAGGAACTAGATGGGCTAGGTGCGTAGAGTCCACGTCACAGAGTCTTCTTTGTGCCTATTGAGGCTGTAGACAGGCAACAGTGCAACAGGAGCTGCATGGCAGACGTTCCTGATGCCTGAGACATGAATGGACTGGTATAGAAGAAGCTCAGTTAAGAAGGGCAGGACCCTGCTCTGGGAGCCCTTAGGATGAGTGTTGCCATGGCCATTTGACCTGACACAGCTGAGGCAGAGCTGTTTGCTACGTAGGAGGTTGGTGGACAAGACAGAGAAATCAGCAATCACCGGAAGTCTCCCTTGGTTTATAGATTTTGACCCAGGTTCCTACAGTAGCCCTCAGTTTCTCCTGATTGTCTTCTGGAAGCCAGCAGTCAGCGGAGGCAAGAAGAGAACATTTTTTGCTGTGGCACCTCCTCCTCCCCAGAGTGTTTGGCATCTTGTGCTGCCAGTCTCCAGCTGTCTGTCTAGACGAAGCCCAGATTGGACGTGTGAGGTATAGAACACTGTGATCCAGGCCTACTCACTCTTGGCCAACTGGAGGGTGAGCACTGGGGACAAAATCTGTGCTGGAAAGATTGGGGACATCTTTTTCCTATTAGCAGTTGGATGCTCCCACGACCCATGGATGTCTCTGGCCACTGTACTGCCATGTCTCCAAATATACACTGGACCCAAGGCTGCTTAGAGGAGCCCTCCGTCTCATGCCTCTGCTGACCATTTCTTGGGCATCAGAACAAACATCATTTGATCACAAGGGCAGAGATCCCTGGGCAACCTCAAAACCTCTAAGGATAGTAACTATTTTTAAAGATTAAATTCCTGTCTGTGCAAGACCTAGACACTCATATTATCCTCCCATTATTCTGTGAACGTCACACAACAACTCTGTGAAAGAGACATTATAACCCTATTTTAAAGTGTTAATTAGGAAACCAAGTAACTTGCCCAGAATCTCCCAGCTACAGATGCAATGGAGCCAGGACTGCAACTCAGAACTGCTTGAGTCTGTGCCCCACATTCTATCTATTCAACTACACTGCCTTTGCTGCCCAACCTCGTCAATCACAGATGAGGACAAAAGGACAAGAGAGAGAAAATGATTTGCTGAGACGTGTGGCAGAGCCTAGCTCTCTCACTCGAGGCTCTGGACTCTCATTTCCTTCTCCCTCGGGGCACTCTCATCTTCTCCTTGGTATATTTCCTGAGTCACTGCTCCAGGTCTGCCTCATTCAACCTGGGAGGCATGAAGCTGGCTGGAAATCCCAGACAGCTGAGTCTGATCCTCTCAGCAGACGCAGCTCCCAGGTCCCCTACTGGCCTAGAAGCAGGCAAGGGCCTCTGACAGAGAGCTGGTATGAGGTGTGGGGTACCACATGCAAACCCTGGACTTCACATCAGACGTTCACACTGGAAGGACTCTGGAGGCAGTTAAGACCCTAATGTTTATTGTGATCATTTGAATGAAGTTTTTGTCTTCCTTCATGAGAATTGCTTTCTTTTTTCCATAACTATTGATCCTGTATCTTGCCCTGGAGGGCAAGATTAGTAGTATTAGCTCATATCTGTCACTTTCATTTTACCCATATCACTGTGGCTCCATGGAGTGAGAGCTGTGCACTGTGGAAGACGCCTCTGTCTGTTCCTCCAAGCACCTACTACCAAGAAGCTCATTTGCCAGGATCATAGAATCAGGGCAGGACCAGCTGTGTAATTTGTGGCACCTAATGCAAAATGAAAATGTGAGGCCCTTCATCAAAAATTACTGAAAATTTCAAGGTCTGATAGTACAGCGTTACACCAAGCACAGAGCCCATCTAAAGCTGGACACTCACGGAGCTGGCCCTGAGTGGGACTGTAGAAATGTAGCAGAGATGGAGAAGACAGGGCAGTTAGAGCTGGAATAAGTTTATCTGAGCATTAGCAATGCCATCTATGCAATAGGGTGATGACACTGACTGCCAATTGTGCGTGAATCATGGGTAATATACAGAGACTACTGGGAAATGTCAGGTGTTGATTAAGAAGACACGCCCCTTTCCCTAAGAGAGAATCTAGTTCAAATCTCTCATCTTGCAGAGAAGTAACCTGAAGCCCAGAGAAGAAGAATGGCTTTCCACATTTAGCCAGGTAATTCGTTCGTGGTGGAGCTGGGATGGGGGCACTGGGTCTCCTGAGTCTCAGTTTGATGGTCTTTTCGCTAAACCAGGCCCCTTTCCTCTCTGCAGCTGCCTCGGATGTTTCCTGCTTGACTAACGAGGCAGGGCCTTAGTGCTCATCGGCAGATGGTTTGGAGACTGAGTCAACCATCTGTAAGATTGGCCTCCACTTCCTGCCCAGCTGCTGGGTCCCATGATGGGATCATACTGAAATGAACGTTATCCTTCACCACAGGATGCTGGGGGTGAGAGAATATCTTTCTCAAATGACTCCTCACATGGTTCGTGATGAAGTGGCTTTCTCTGCACACGGTCACTTTCTAGTCACCAGCTGGCTGATGTGAGCATCCGCCTGGTAGTAGTGTTCTTCGGAGGCTACACTGTAGACAAAGTTGGGGTCCACGGGATCCCTTTACATTGAAATGCCACTGACCAGGCTATGTCAATGCTTAATAATAACAGTGATGTGACAAAAATACTCCATAGGTATAAACTTTTGGGAACTATAAACCACTGTCACATTAGATATCATTGCTCTGATACCAGAAGAAGACTAGTGTAATTTTATTGTAATTTTTCAGAAGAGAACACCGGCTCAGAAGTACTTGACTACCTGCCCAAAGGTACGTTCGCACAAGTGATGGAGACAGTGAACTAGCTCAAGAATACTTTGATGTCTGAATTTTACCCAGTCAGAGAACAATAGGATATACTGAGAGGAAGATGGACTTCAGGGTCCTCTGTATCATCCTCTCTTTCCTGACGCTCTTCCATGGAAACCGAAGGCTGGCAAATCTCTCTGCCACCAAGACCTTAATCCTGGTGTTATTTTTAAGCAGGGCCCTGATCCGCAGGACAGCCTTGGCAAGCATATGGGGGTTGGTCTTAAATTCTGTGGTGATCGTGTTGGCAAATTATGGTTCTAGTCTCAAAGTCACATAGAAGCTTAGCTATTATCATCCAGAGTTGAGGAGCACAGCCACCACTTTTTCACTTACGACTCTCAGTTCTATTATTTCAAGGCCCAAATTCTGTCCCACGCTTCTTATCTGTATGTGTCACTATTTGCTATACTCTCTATTTGAGTGAATCCCAAGCACCTTAGATGCAGAATGTCTCTGGGCTTCTCTCCCTCCACTCTACACGTGCTTTCCCCTCCCAGTTCACTCCAGTATCTTTACCCATATTAAACTCTTTCCTCTCCTGTCTCTGAAATAATGAACTGGTTTATAAAATTCTGTCTGTTTTATTGGCCTCCCTGCCTCCAGCTTTCTACTTTCCTCCCATCCCTTATCCTGCCCCATGGGTGACCCTTGATTATGTTCCTCTCTGTCAAATGTTTTTCCTTTTATTTATTAGTAGGCCAAAAGTAGTTCTTATTCATAACAACCCAAGAGGAATTTATGAAAACTATTTTGCAGATGGGGAAACCGAGCAACTGAGAGTGTAAGAAACTTGTCCGAAGTCATGCAGCTACTAAGTGAGAAAGCAAGGATCTGAACCCAGAAAGTCAGTCTCCAGAGTTCCTGCTTTTGGCCACTATGTTCTTGTTATGGACTGAATGGTGTCCCCAACCCCATTCGTATGTTGAAGTCTTAATCCCCCGTAGCTCAGAATGTGACCCTATTTAGAGATAAGGTCTTTAAAGAGGTAATTAATATGATGCCAGTAGTGTGGACCCTAATCTAATATGACTGGTATCCTCATAAAAAGAGGCAATTTGGATACAGATATGTGCACATACAGAGGAAAGACCACGTGAGAACACAACCAGAAGGTGGCCAACTGCAACCTAAGGGGACAGGCCTCAGAAGAAACCAAATTTTGCTGACATGATGATCTCGGACCCCTAGCCTCCAGAACTTTGAGAAAATAAAGTCCTGTTGTTTAAGGCACGCATTCTGTGGTATTTTATCATGGTAGCCTGAGCAAACGGAGACATTTACGCTGATTCTCATCTCACGTGAACAAAGTCTACACTCCTTCAGCATGACAAAGTACTCGAAGACGTCGCATCTGCCTCATTCTCCTGATTCATCACCCTCACACCACTGAAAACCTGTATTCCAGACATGCTGAGTCTTCAGTCTTACCCTTCTATGCTTTCCCATTATTTTATGCCTTTTCTTAGGGCCTCCCTCTGCTTGTTAAATAATTTTAGTCCTTTATCGCCTGAAAACTTTCAATCATCCTTTAAAATTTGACTTGGGTAAACTTGACGAGACCCTCTATCTGGAAGTCTCTTTAGTCCCTTCCTTCTCTGTTCTCCCACTGACTATCTGTTCATCATCTCACACATCACATTCCATTTCTCCATGAGGCCAGTAACGAGTGCTCGGTGAGGGCCTCACACTATGCTGGGCATTGGGGATGTAGAGATAAAGGTGGCCAGCGCTTGCCCTGAAGGAGGTGAAGGAGCCTGCACTACTGTTAACCATGGTGGTGTCAAGTCCAGAGAAGGGTCACCTAACCCAGCCTGGAGGTCAGCAAAGACTTCTTGGAGGAGTGGAGCTGAGGCTTCGATGACAGATGTGAGTGGGAGGAAATGGGGAGGCACAGAAAGCATTCCACGCAGGAGAGGTAACACGAACAACGTGTAGAGAAACAATGGGGTGCAATTATAGTTCCTTCCAATGGACTGTATGATTATGTATGTCATGTCTGATTTAATTTTAGGGGCTGCCAAAATATTTGCTAAAGAAATAACTGTTGAATGAACAAATGCATAAATGAATCAATGACTCAATGAAAGAGTATATGAGCAATTAAACAAGTCTCTTAAATCAGTTAGAATCCTTTGGTTGTAAGCATCAGAAACCCACTCCTGCTGACTCAAGCAAAAAGAGAGTTTATTGGGAAGGTTAGGGGAAGCTCATAGGAAGGGAGGAAAGATGAAAACCAGGCTGGAAGGCAGCGACAGGCCACTCTGGAGGCCCCAGAGTGGGACCTGCCTGCCAGGCTTGCTCCCGGGCCATGGCTGGAAGGCATGAACCACAGGTGTCTTCTGTCTTTTGGTCACGCTCTTTCTTTTCAAGTTCTAGGAAGTGAGATCTCGATTGGTCATGTGCTCACCTCCTGGTTAGGCCAGACCTCTGCTTCCCTGATTTTATCCAGTGGAAAAGAAATATTGCCATAGTAAAAGTCAGGTTTCACCACCAAACATGTGCAGTTGACATTGAGGCATCAAGAGAAACAAATATCCACTACATAGAAGTTTTCAGACAACTCGCATGGCTCTTTTTCGTGGTCTGAAGCATCCTTAGAACCTTTTTCATGCTCAGAGCCATAGCTTGTTGATGCCAAGAGCTTTCTTCGGCCAATGAACCCTGTGTAAAGTTTTGATATGAGATGAAACGACCTCGGGAATTAGTACATCTGCTTCCAGCCCTTACTCCTGTGGGGTAAGGTACTTTCAGTAAGTCCATTCTAAGCAGCAGGTCAGCTCCAACACTTGCTGGTAGTTGCTAATTTCCCCAGACCTATGCAAGAGCAAGTTCAGATGTTTCTATATTCACAGGTCCATCTTGCCTGGACTAGGTAACATTTGTGAAGGTACTTGGTTAATTATCTAGTGTTCTATAAATGGAAATTAATATTTCTTTTGTAGTCCCACTAGAGAACAGAGGCCTTTGTTTCCTTTATTTAGCAATTTAGGATCAAAAAATTTCTCTAAAGGGGGTTCTACAAAGTCTGTTTATCCCAGAGTTTAGCATAATCCTTGGCACATAATTCAGACTCCAGGAGGCTCCGTTTCTGTCGTTCTGGTCCTTGATTCTACAGCTTCATACTTTTGTTCTTAACTGCTCTCCTGGCTAGGATCCTGCCAGAAAGAGAGCTTATCGAGATGCAGTCCCTTTTTTGGATATACCTCAGGACAGAACCTCGCTGACAAAATAGAAAAAGCATGGGGCTTATTAATTTCATCATTCATCACTCAAAAGGAAACTAGCAGAAGGCCATAAAAGAGCTCAAGAATTTTCCTTTCATCTCTCAGATTAACTTGGTGAGATGTTTCTATGCTTCCCAAGTCCTAAAACTCATACTTCCCTATAAAGTTTCTCACCTACAAAATACCATGAGAAAGAATTGTAATCTTTCTTATGCAGATGGAATTCCTATGTGGTTTCTTTTTTTTGAGTTTGTTGAGGTACTTCTCTATGGCGGTCTCAGCCGTGTGTCCAAGCTCTGGCCCTGGCTTTTGACATGAAATCCCCTCATGTCATCTAATAACATAAATCTTAGTTTCCATGTCTGTAAAATGGGAACCATAGTGCCAGCCTCACTTTTCATTCTTTATTTTTGTTTATTTTTTTAAATTGTCGTAAAATACACATAACGTAACATTTATCACGTTATCCATTTTTTTAGTGTAAAGTTCAGTGACATCAAGTCCTTTCCCATTGCTGTGCAGCCATCACCACCATCCATCTCCAGAACTTTTTGACCTTGCAAGACTGAAACTCTGTCCCCATTAAAAAATAAATCCCCATTCCTTCTTCCCGTAGTCCCCGGCAACTATTTTCCGTCTCTATGAATTTGACTATTCCAGGTACCTCAAATAAGTGAAATTATATAGTGTTTGTATTTTTATGACTGAATTATTTCACTTAGCATAATGTCCTCAAAGTGTATCTAAGTTGTAGCATGTGTCAGAATTTCCTTCTTTTTTAAGGCTGAATAATACTGCATTGGATGTATCCATTTACGTTTAAAGGAATTACTGAGAAGGAAGGACTTATTACTGCCTTTTTGTTGTTTTCTGTATATCTTGTAGCCTTTTGCTCCTCCTTCCCTCCCTTACTGCATTCTTTTTTGTGTAGCTGATTTTTTGTAGTGACAAATTTTGATTCCCTTCTTATTTCCTTTTCTGTTTACAGTCGGGGTTTATGTTCTGGGAAATGTGTTGTTATGTGATTTCATCCTTGTGCCAACATCATAGAGTGTATTTACACAAACCTAGATGGTATAGCCTACTTTACACCTAGGGACCACCATCATATATGCACTCTGTTGTTGACCTAAATGTCGTTATGAGCACGTAACTGTATTCTATAGCTATTTTCTTTGTGGTTACTATGGGGATTGGACAAAACCTCCTAAAGTTGAAACTGTCTATTTTAAACTGATGCCACCTTAACTTCAAATACATACCAAAACTACTCCTTTATAGCCCCATTCCCCTTGATGTTATTGATGTCACAGATTAAATTTATACGTATTGTGTAGCCATTAACACGGATTTATAATTTTTGTTATGATTTTTGCCTTTTAAACCCTGTAAAAGCGTCAGAAGTGGGGTGGTGAATCTAAATTACAATAATACTGCTTTTTGTTTTTCTCCATCTATTTACCTTTGCCTGAGAGCTCTTCCATATACTTTTGTATGGCTTCATTTTTTAAAAAACATTTTATGATTAAGCAAAGTTAAATATGTAGAATCACCTAGTTAATATCAAGTACAAAAGAAGCATTTAATAGCTGTGGCTTCCCGGGACATACTTGTTGACTGACTGATGAGCCAAGTGAATGAATGATTGGATTTCCTTCTCCAAAGTCAGCTCCTAAGAGGCACCATCTAGTTCACTGCGTGGGATTTCTTTGACCACCTACTATGAGTGTGGACAAAAAGAAACCAAAGGCAGTAACAGAGCTGGTCAGCCCGGGATGCATCGTGATTTTTCCTCCAAAAGGTTCTGTGGCCCTGGAGGTTTGGTTTCTCGCTTATCATGTAGATAGGGTCACTGGGGTTAGACTTTATTTTAGAAGATGTGACTTTGGTTTTTCTTTTTCTTTCATTGCTTCAGGAAGTCCCACTCTGAGTCAATGCCAAATGGGTTTGGTTTTCAGCTTGAATTTTCCCGTAAAAGGTGGTGGAAGAGATGATTCATAAATCCCATCCTGACTTTATTTATCTCATGCTCAAGCTGTAGCAGGTGAACCGTTGGACTCTGAAGCATGGGGTTATTACAGAGAAGTAAGCGTGGAAAAGAAAAAAGTGTGCGCATGATAGGACTCAGGCAAATGCATATTTCAAAATGCTCATGAACCTGTGTACAAGCAAACCACACGACAAATGAGGATATGCATTTGCAGAGTGTATAGCGCTATTATTAAGAATAATTATGCACAGGATATTTGGTAGAACCAGGGAAAATGTGTGATTGCATTTGTGGCATTCAGCTACTATTTGATTTACAAACATTGTAGTCAAAATAAAAGAGAATATTGTACCTGCTACATTGAAAGCAGTCACTGTCTTATAGTCATGTGTTTTATGCTTTTCTTAAGGAAATCTCTTCTTTATGCCATTCCTTTGTTCAAATGCGTGTTGTGCATGTTATATAGAAAAGAATAGTGGATCCCATGTTGGAGACCTGAATTCTAATTGTAGCTCCAACACTAAGTACACAGCCCTAGAAAACCAGGTTCCCTTTCCAGGCCCAAATTTCTTCATTTGTAAAGAGAAGCCAAATATTGGCATTGGATTCTTTTCTTTCTTTAGGAAAAACGAGGTGCTATATTTACAAATACCTAAGACAGGGCCATGTACACTCAAGTGTCTAACACTCGACAGCTGTTGAGCAAATACCAGGTTTTCTTCCCAAGTCACTCCAATTGTTTCCTCACCTATAAAGTTGGAGCATATTTTGTATCTTATATCTAATTATAAAATTTCCACCAGTGTTCTGGAACAATCTTCAATCAATTAAAAAAAAGACCATCTGTGATTCTCTCTGATTCTGTAAGAAATGGTCATATTTCTTGTATTTTTTAGGAAATGTATTTTTTTATTCTGAGGCAGTGTTTCTATTTTATAAATGTTTATAAATTTGGAAGGAGAGAGTTGACTTTAATCCATTTATCTGCACACAAGGCTGAAACTGGGTTGTCGCTTATGT